ACAGACAGACAGACAGACAGACAGACACCTGCCCAGTGTGAGGAGAACCATGGGGTTCAACCACTTGGTTCTAACAAGATGTGTGAGAGGAGACGTGAGGAAGACGTTCGCATCCTCTGGGCTCCCTCACACATGGACATCCCGCCCCTGCCTTCACTCCCCTTTCCATGGCAACGTGCCGATCCTGGAAGGCTGACGCAGAACTTCCAGACATGCCTGTGTGACAGGAAGGAACGAGCCGTGTGGGGACAGCCCAGGGGTGGCACGAGAGGTGGCTACTGGCCAAGCACACACAAGCTCCAGGCTCAAAGCTGCCTACAAAGGGCTTGCTGAACCACACAGCTCCACCAAAGCAGAGGAGGGTGGGCAAGTGTCATACAAATGTGTGTGGTTTTCCACCAGGTCGGCTGTTCTGGTCAATCAGGATTCAAGAAATCAATGAATTGGCCAGAAAGAGACTGGAAATGTGCTCCTGGGGAAGGGGACACGGTGGGGCTGCTGCTCCCAGGGCTGCAGCCCACGTCTGGAGAAACGGATGAGCCCAGGAGAGAGTGATTGTTAATTACCTAAATCAAGATCCGGTCCTTCTTCCATGTGTCCTGCCAGTCGGGGAAAAAGAATCAGAAGAAGGTGTGTTAGTGCAGGTCCTGCGGGCTGAAGAACCGACACACACAACACTATCTACTCCTCACCACCAGTTGGATGGCGCTGGTTAAACTCAAATCCACCTGCATCGCAAAAAACATCAGCAATGCACCTCTCAACTTGGTGATCGGTTTGCTATTTTTAGCAGCCCTTCAAACCATTAACCACTAGTACACTTTTAATTTCTTTTCTTTTTTTTCACTTTTTTTCTTTTAATTTCTTTTTTTTTTTTTCAATGCTTTATACCAGGCCAATCAGTTTTACTTTCATTAATAAAAAAATTACTTTACAAAATAATTTAGTAAATCCAAACCATTTTTTTTTTCTCTTTTCTTGTCTTTTTTTTTCCCCAAATTACAACAAGTGGTTGCTCAATTCTTCCAAGTTACCCTGTGTCCTGTAACTGCATACCCCTAGGCATTGCCGGCAGTACCCATTACAATCTCGTTGCATATGTCATTTTAACCACTTAAAAACTTAATAAAAAAATAAAAAATAAAAAAAATATTACACTTTGTTCTACAAACTTGACTGCATTTTTTTTTTAATCTTTTTTTTTTTTTTTTTTTTTAACACTATCCATTGTAATGCTCAAAAACTTACCACCAGGCTTATTGAAGCCACCTCGCTCTCCAGCGCTGCTGGGGGGATAAACGAAGAAATGAAGGCCTTTCCCTTTACAAAGCCAGTACCGCTCTGAGCCTCTGCGGCTCACTGGGAGTGAAGGGCACTGGCTAAACATCTCCAAACAATGCATCTGTCTCTCTCTCTCTCATCTCATCTCATCTCATCTCGGCACTATTGCCTTTCTTCAGGGCAGCTGGCTCAATATTTCCTTTTACATATATATATAAAGCAACCTCGCTTGTCTCGTTTGAGACAGCACTTTGCTTGTCGGTACCCTCGTTATGGGTATTATCAGTGCAATACTTGGCCAAAAAATAATAATAATTAAAAAAATAAATACATAAAATAATGGTTTTGAGTGTTATAAATCAAGGCTTTCTGCCTCAGAAAAAAAATAAATCATTCACTGGTCAACTCCCTCCCCTGTGTGTGTCCATAAAGGTGCACCCTCAGCCTCTCGCAGCACGAGAGCGGAACGAGCCCGCGGGTCCCTGACATTTAACAGTTCAAAAAGGGAAAAGAGACAACCATACACGAGACCTACAACACAGTTCAGCTGACATTTCTGGTAAAAACCTCGGGAGAAAGCCATTACATTCAGGTCACTTCTTAATTGAACAAGTCTCTGCGGAGGGGGGACTTACAGAATACAGCGGGGGCTCGAAGGCCTGGGGTGCAGCTTTGTGGACACAGATCTCGGCACGCGCCGACGCCGCAGCTTTCCTCGAAAGCTTTGGCTGAAGCATTCAGCTCAGATCTGCTTTTCAAAGGCTGGTTAATTAGGAAAATGCCACCTGAAAAAGGATTTTGGTGTTTCTTGCTCTTTTTTGGCGAGATTCAAAAAAACCAAAATAAAACAAAACAAAAAAAACCCCCAAAAAACAACCCCAAAAGCTGTTTGAGACGAGCAGAGGAGGGAGAGCACCGCCTATTTTCTAGCAAGTATTGCACCTCTAATACTGGAAAAAAAAATAAATAAAGAAGTTGTCAATACACAATTTCAAGCTGTTGCATGCAGCTTCACCTCCTTCTGGTAAAGCACACAGCGTTTACGTAACGTCTCTCTTTTTTAAACATGTTTACACTTATTTTTTCTTTTCTTTTTCTTTTTTTGTTAACGTTACACAATTCTAAAGTAGTATACCTCCTCTGGTTTTTATTACCAAACAACAAGTAGGCAGTTACCAAAGTTACAGAAGGATTCCATTTATACAATCAATACATTGGGTTAAATAAAATATATATATATATATATTCTATGTATATTTTTTTTCCTCTCCATATGGACACCGTGTCTAGTCCCACTTTTCATTATGCTGCCGGCTGAGTACTGAGTACGGGTACTTTTTAAGTATTGAAGTGTATACAAGGCTCTCACTTTGTAACCTGTAGCATATAAATGCGACAAAGCATGTTAAAAAGTTTCCATGTTTAACAGCCAATGAAAATAGAAAAATAATTGAGTCAATGAGAGAAAATAAATAAAATAAAATAAATAATTAATAAAAAAAGAGGGCACGTTAATAACATCGAGCTCCTTACCTGCTGGAGACACTGAAATCCATCACCACAGCATGATAAGAAGGGCCGAGTTCCCCTACCTGCCCCTTTGGCGTTCATAGGGAGCCCACCTTGTCTATGGACAGCAGAAAGTCTACGTCCATAAAGCAGGGGAGCCTTTGCCATGCTCTAGTCAGGCGGGAAATCGCTACGTACACCATTAAAGCTCGGATTAAAGGTGTGAAATCGGGAGAGAGATGACCAAAAATCTTTTGCATGAGAAGTTCCGAAGGGGCTAGAAATTTTAAGATGTGATGATAGACATTTCAAGTGCCTACATCTACTTTAAACCATTAAAAAGAGATCAATACATCAGGGAGGAGGGTGAAATCTTTATGCAGAACCAGGGAACTCTGTTCCACTCAAGCCAATTCAAGATGTGTGCTGACACAAACCCGTCTTTATTTCCTTTTGTTTCCATACCCTGGTAATTTATTCCTCCGATAAAGATTTCACACCACTTCATTTCGACAGAGCTATGCAGAATGGGACTATCCATCACCAAACTCCAGTTGCCAGGGGGTTGTAGAACACCTTGAGAAGTTGCCTATGGAGAAGAAGCTGCAATTGCAGCTGCCCGGCCGAGCAGCAGGGCTAACGCTGAGCACCCCACGCCACATCTCCAGCCTGCACCCAGGGGACACTCTGCATAGCTCTGAAGGACGGTGCGAAGGGATGGAACACACACAAAGCTACATCTTCCTTCTCTGAGGAGCCTCTGGGATTAGTTCTCCTTCCTCACCCCTAACAAGTATCACAGACAGGGAGACACCACCGCTGACCTTGAGGTGTAAGGTTTACCAAACCAGATTTTGCCATCAGTTAAAATGGCCAAACTGATTTAGATCAACCTAGAAGCTCCGAGGGGGAGCAGTCCTGGGAGCCAAGTCAGATCTCTTTATGTTCTTGGGATCTTTCTTCAACGCTCCCACCAAGCTCTAAGTGTTCTGGCCACTCAGAGTCATGGTTTCCACAGCAGCAACCTGCCCCAGGCGTAGCTCCGCGTGCTACTGGCCAAGATGAAGAGGCTGACGGCGTGAGGTGGGGCTGACGGGAGGCTCCTGCCTTGTACATACCTGAACTGGCAACATTCCCACTACTGAGGCACAGGGAGTGACTCCTGGACCTGGCAGAAGGTTTGTGCGTGTTCAATCCAGAGTTACTGTTAAACCCCACAGAGGATCTCACCTCTGAGCGACCACGAAGGGAGCTGAAAGTTCCAGGTTTAGCAACACCCCTGATTCCTCCCCCGCCCTGGAATTCCCAACCCACTGCAGGATGAAAAAACCAAATAGATCCTGCTCCTACTTCCCTTAGGATAATATTTCCATGGATGAGAAGCAATGCTGCTCCAGAGGTGTTCCCCATGGAAGTACTGTTGGGAATATCAACCTTTCAGTCCCTTCTTTCCATTTTAAATCCTATTGGGTAAACCAGAATTAGGTAAAAGGAGGAAAAAGATTTGCTCTTACCCCATTCCACCGCGTCCTCCTCCTCCTCCTCCCCGCCCACCTCTGCTCATGCCTCCTCGATCATATCCCCCTCTTCCCCTGCCCCGGTTATCAGGGCCGCTCAGATTCCGGTTCTCTCCTGGGCCTGAAAAGCCTCCGGATTCCTGTCCGTATACGTTCATGCTGCTAGGATGGTCCTGACGGAATGAACCTGAGGAAATTTGTAACAAAAACTGTTAGGGAGCTGCAGATAAGAGTGGGTCGAAGCTGCCTGTCCCCTTAAAAAGCCCTTTTACCTGCCTCCAGCACCAGAACATCATCACAACCATCATTTCTACAGCGTTTACCGCAACGGTGTTAATTTAAGGAGAGAAGTGCTGCTTTCTGTCTGCAGAATCAAGTTTTATGTTAGGCCCTACCAGCCCGACCTCTGCAGACCCACCAGCTGCCCACAGGGAATTGTTGTTTGCGCCAAGTAGTCGATAGAATGAGAGGAAACAGGCTCAACTTGTGCCCAGGGGAGGTTTAGATCGGATGTGAGGAAGAATTTCTTTGCTGAAAGGGTTCTGAGGCATTGGAAGGGGTTGCCCAGGGCAGTGGTGGAGTCCCCATCCCTGGAGGGATTTAACAGATGGGTAGACAAGGAGCTGAGGGACATTGTTTAGGGGGGGAATTGGCAGTGTTGGGTTTATGGTTGGACTCCATGATCTTACAGGTCTTTTCCAACCACTATGATTCTATGATTCCAAGTCTTGCCCACTCCATCCACAACAGCATTTTGTGCCTTTGTGTTTTTCAACCCCCCATTCCCCTTTGTTGCACTGAGGAGGGAGCATCGCCCTTTGCCACTGCACCAGGTTTTTCCAGTGAGAAAAGGTAAAACCCAGCTTGGCTACGCTCTCCCTTCAACACAGCCACAAGCTTTAGACTCCAAACACCATCAGGCCTCCTTCAGAGACAGCCCAACCTCGCAAGGGTGAGGGAGAGAGACCTCTTCCTCCACAGCCACCCGGCTCTGCTGAGCACACTCACTCTGTTGGCCGTAACTGCTGCTCTGCTGGCTGTACTGGCTTGGGGTCTGGCTGTAGGATGCTGTCGGGGGCGGGTAACTGGTCGTCGGTGGTGCCTGCTGGCCATAGCTGCTTTGCTGGCCATAGCTAGTCTGTTGTCCATAGGTACTCTGCTGCCCATAGGTGCTCTGCTGGGAGTAAGTGCTCTGATCGTAACTGCTGGGCTGTGTGGAGGAATAGCTGGAAGACAAAAGCATTGTGAGGATGGGAGGATGAGTTGATTCACCCACAGTGTGCACGAGGCTGCAGATGTGGCTCACACGAGAAGGTAATGCCATTATGAGCCATATGTACTGCTGTAAAGCATTTAGAAAGGTGAAGTCATCTTATGGAGGCCAGGCTGGTGGCAGGAAACAAAATAAACCTGGTAGACTGCTAAAAAGGCAAAATCCATGTGACTGTTCACAATTTATTTGTACCTCTAGGAAGAGGGAGAAGTGCCTGGGCAAAACTCAGTGTCAGCACAGGTAACAGGCTCTCCTCATTGCCTCAGCAATGAAATATTTTCAGCTGATGGATAATAAAATAGTTCAATAGTTCCCCCTCACGCATCTCAAGCTTTGAGAATTTCAAAACATAACATTTTAGAAGTTAGCATCAGCGTATTAAAGACACGTGAGGGGAAGAGGTAAGCCCACTGTCAAAGGCAGGTGTAAGGAGGCAGCAAAAGGTCCTTATAACACACTCCATGTCTAGGAAATTCCTTAAAAACATTTGTCACTGTTACACTTTGCTATGGCAGGTGTGTACACAGACACACTCAATCACACCCTCATCCTCCCTACATCAAGTAGTGTCCCAACAAGAACCACACCTCCCTCCTCCCAGCATACCAAACCTCTTTTTATATCTGTTCATTTTAAATCCCTTGAGGAAAAAAAGAGATTTTAAATGAAGGGATTTTTGCCTAAGTTAAGCTGAAGGTTCCCAGGTGAGCTGTGTGTGGTTCAGCCTGCCAGGAGAGTTACCTGCTAGGAGGGTAGGAGGGTGGGGCGGTGACTGGCTGCATCGGGTAGCTGGCAGGCACCTGAGGATAGCTGTAGTTGCTCTGACCGTAACCTAGGCTGGGCTGGCTGTAGCCTGTCGTACTCGATGGTGGCTGGCTGGTCTCTGCTGGTTTGCTGCCATCCTGGGGTCTACGAAATAATATTGAACAAGAAGGAAACAGTGAGTGCAAACCCTCAGCTCTGGGAGCAGCGAAGGTGCTCTGGTCCAGCCCAGGACAGAATGGCACTATCTATTTCTTTGTCCCCCCCCCAGGACAGAATGGCATTACCTATTTATTTGTCCCCCCCCAGGACAGAATGGCATTATCTATTTCTTTGTCCCCCCCCAGGACAGAATGGCATTATCTATTTCTTTGTCCCCCCCCAGGACAGAATGGCATTATCTATTTCTTTGTCCCCCCCAGGACAAAATGGCATTATCAATTTCTTTGTCCCCCCAGGACAGAGACTTTTTTTAATCTGTTATTATTATATCTATTATTATCTATTTCTTTGGTAGCATTACAAGCTGGCTCTGCATCGGTGTCAGTCATCTGGCAGCAGCTAATAAATGCTCATTAAACACTAAACATTTCAGGAGTTGCTGACTGGGGTCTGCTGCCATCAGAAAAGGCCCAGGCAGCACCCTCAGCAGAGCACAGAGCTTCTGTTCAGCAGCTGTGTTGTGAAACTAAAGGTGAGGGGTTGAGACTCTGGCTGTGGAATGGAGCTGAGGATGTGAAAGGGGCAGCAGCACCGTCCCTCCGCTCGAGCTGGTTACACACAACACTGGGAAACCACTGGCTCAAAAGCTGCCAGAAACCTTGTCAGTTAAATGCCCCATTGTTTGGATTAGAACCCAGTGCAAGCAGATACTGCCCCATATACATTATCTGATGAAAGGGAAAGGATGCCGGGGGCTGGGCTCAATGACCTTTAAAGGTCCCTCCCAACCCAAACCATTCTCTGCTTCTGTTTAGTATTAACTCTCAAGGCTGAAAATAAAAGAGAACTCTTTGCATGTGACTCCCAAGCCCCCTTTTTTTACATTCAGCCCATACTGTTTGTAATCTCCAAGTGTTTATCAGAGCAGAATAAAAAAGAGTTAAGCTACTTTTGTTGTATTAAGCTACTCTTGTTGTATGAGCCAGGAAAAGAATTATTTTAAATGATGTCAGGATTCATAGTTAAAATGTAATCTGACAGATACAGCTAGAGCTGTGCCAAGCTCCACCTCTCCTTACTGGAGTGGCTGCTACAACCATCAGGTAAATGAATAAAGCAGGTTTATTTTATGTATTCTAAATCTTTCATATACTGAAGCAAAAAATTAAACTAAATATACTATTGACAGTGGCCAGACACAAGTGATTTAAAGAGGAAATTGTCCTCAGCGTGTGCACCCACTCCAGGAGTCCCAGCACGCAGCAGTGTCCTGCCTGACCCCGTGACTCAGGATCAGATCAGACTGGGCCGTTTTCTGTTCAACATCGTGGGTCAAGAGCCCATTTTTGCTGCTTGGCTGCTCTCTGCATCTCTCAGGAACAGCGCTGACTCACCGTGCTGGAGCAGAACCCCCCGTGCTGCTGCCCCAGCCCTGGAAGGGGTTGGGATGGGGATGGGATGGGGATGGGATGGG